TTTGCCTGAAAGACTACCTCAATAAATAACCTTCTGAGGCACCAACAAACTTCTCAGCATTTTTCCTGACACTCCGGTTACCACTAACATTCTAGACAAAGTTGTGAAATAAATCTTTTTCTTTGTTGCTCTCCAACGTCTACCGTGGACCCCTCCTCTCACTTCCTGTTTCGTCCTCTCTGCACTCCCCTATCCCACCCCATTTCTGGCTGCTGCCACCCCACGTCCCCTCATCCTGCTCTTTGCCTGAACAAGAACCCACACGCTCCTTCAGACCTCAGACACAAAGATACCCCTTCTTAGTTCCTTCCTTTTCTGCCCAAGTGGTCATATTTCCCCAGAGCTCTTCTAGATGTGACTTAGATGGTCCACAGTAGTGTGCACCTGAAGCCTAAACCCACGCTGGGAAGCTAGTGCCTGCCCAGGTTAGAGTGGAGAAGAACTCTCTGTACCTGGCACACAGTGGGTATTCGAGTAGTGTTTGCAGAATGAACAGCAGCTCAGGGCAGAAACCCTCCTGATGCAAAGGGATGCTTTACGGCCCCTTCTCCCAGCCCAGTCTGTCTCTCTGAGTGTCCTCTCGATTCCAGGAGCCACCATCACACCTGGCCCTAGGCTGTGCTGCTCCCCTCTGTCTCAGAGGCTAGAGAGCATCAGAGTCCTTTCCGCTGGCTTCTGTGGCAGAGCAAAAACTGGGTGGCATTTTTAAAGGTGCTCCGCCAGTGTGAAAGAAACACAGTGAGGCTGCATGGGTTTAAATCTCAGCTGTACCATTTACTAGCTGGGCGGCCAAGGGCAAGTACTGTGACCTCTTTGAGACTCCATTCCTTCATCTGTAACATGGGGACAAATAATCTCACCCTGTCGTGAGCAGTAATAGTACGATTAATCATTTAGCTGGCTCTTACTCATGTTCTTTGATGGGCCAGGCATACAAAGTAAGTGAAAGTGGGTTACGGCAGGTGCTCTTCTTGGTTTCTGGAGTGAACCTTCAGTTACATGGAGGCTTGGAGGCTCCTCTTTTTAGATTGCTGACTAGTTCACCCACCTTATTCATAGACCTTATTCTGTGCTTAGCTGACAGAAATCTCCTCTCAGAGAATCCCCCCGGTAAATTCTTAGGTTCTTTCCTCTTCCATTCCCCTTTTTGCTCTCTCCCTCCAAAGGCAAGAGTTTTCACTTTACAGGCCCACTGGAGAAAGTTATGGCTTTTGGTTGTGGTTTGGGGTTCACTCATCTTCACAGTCAATGACATTGGAGAAACTGGCTTCGTAACCGAGCACACACCCTCACGCACACACATCATGGCTAGAGTGGAGAGAAATTCTTCATATGGGGCACTTGTACTTAATAAAAGAAAATCATATCAATCTTGTGTATTTTAGCATCCTATTACATCAGGGTCACTGATAAGTTAAGTGTCCAGAGTGTTTTCTAGGATGGTATATGGTCTCCAAATTAACATTAGTGAAGTTTACTGGAAGGATTACTTCTGGGCCAGGCCAGGATTTTGAGGAGAGATGTGGTTCCTGTCACCACATCCTTGAAGGACTTTGGCAGAAGTGTCTTAGGCTTACTCTGGATAGCTTCAGAGGACAAAACCAGTATTGACAGAAGGAAGGTAAGGAGAAGCAGCTTCTAACCCAGGGGAAGAGAGAGTTTTCAAACTGAGAATTCAAAAATGATACTGATTCCTTGTCAGGGTCAGTGCTTCTCCCCACTGTGTGAATTACAGGGGCCATTTGTCCAAGATTCCTCAGAGCAATACTGATTTCATGTAATTATTTGAATATAATTTTATATTGAATTTATTTTATTGTGAGTATGACCATCTTTTCAAATGTATGAGATAGTTATTTCCAGTTCCATGTACTATCTGTACATTTCTTTTGCCCGCTTTTAATTTGGGTCTTTGGCCTTTTTTCTTGTTTTTCTTATTAATTTGTAGAAGCTCTTTTTTACATAGAAAATTAATACTTTGTGACTAGTTGCAAATATTTTCAGTTGCTGAAAATACACAGTACGTGTTCCATGTAAGAGCTGAACGGCTGGTTCCTGATCGCTGCCTCCCTCCCTTCCAGCCAATAGATTTCAGAGTTTGGGCATTACCTATTGAGCCAAAGCTGACACCACAACAAGGGCAGAGCGTGGGAACAGAGTTCTCTGTCTGATTCCTGTGAACTTCCTCATACTAAATCACCAACAGCAACCTACTTATCATAGAATATGAGAATTGAACAAGTGTTGGCAAGGATGTGAAGAAATTGGAGCTCTTGTTCCAGTTGTCGATGGGAATGTAAAGTGATGTAGCTGCTGTGGAAAATAGTGTAGCAGTTCCTCAGAAAATTAAAAATAGAATGACCACATGATCTAGCAATTCCCCTTCTGGGTATATACCCAAAAGAACTGAAAGCAAAGTCTTAAAGAGATATTTGTACACCCTTGTTCATACCAGCATTATGCACAATAGCCAAAAGGTAGAAGCAACTCAAGTCTCCATCAACAGATGAATGGATGAACAAAATGTAGTATATACATACAGTGGAATACCATTTAGTCTTAGAAAGAAAGGAAATTCAAACACATGCTACAATGTGGATGGCCCTTGAATACATTATGCTAAGTGAAATAAGCCAGTCACAAAAAGACAAATACTGTATGAATCTACTTATACCCCAAGCAGTCAAATTCATGGAAGCAGAAGGTGGAATGGTGGTTGCCAAGAGCTGAGAGGAGAGAATGAAGAGCTATTGCTTAATGGGTATAGAGGCTTAGTTTTGCAAGATGAAAGAGTTCTGAAGGTGGATGTAGTGATGACTGCACAACAGTGTGAATGTATTTCACACCACTGTACACTCAAAAGGTGAAGATGGCAAATTTTATGTATATCATACCACAACTAATAATGATTTCTAAAACTTATGAGATGTAATTTCACCCTTTCCTATTGCTAAAGATCACAAATTAGAAAACACTTTGGGAAAAGGTACATGAAAATAAGTACTCTTGTGTTGATCAGAGCATAAACATAGAATCTCAGGGGAGAACAATTTGCAACTATTCTTCGACCCTTTGGTCAAGCAATTCTACTTCCAGGAATGTAGCTTACTCCCACCTGTGTGATATGGCATAAAATCAAGGTTTTCCATTGCAACAAAAGATTGGAAATGATGTTTAAGTATCCATCAGTAGTGGTCTGGAGATATATATATATATAATTGTCATCCAATAGAATATAATAGACTAATATGCAGCTGTTATCCTGAGGATACTCATTACATGCTGATACAGAATAATCTCCAAGGTAGTCATATGTGTGCAAAACTGTACACAGTATGCTACCATTTGTGCTTAAAAATAAAAAGAAAACAGAATATGGGTCAATGTTTTTGTTTAGTTTTGTCTAAAGTAACTTTAAGTAGAGGCAAGAAACTGGTAACAGGTAACGATGATCACCCTGTTACATCTATAGAAGAAAACTAGACAGCTAGGGGACAAGGCTGGGAGGGAGACTTGCTTTCCACTATTTATCACCTTTACCTTTCAAATTTAGTACCATCTACATTTAGTACCATGATCTATTCAAAAATATTTATTAAAAAAAGAAAAAGTATAGTCTAGAAGGAAGAAAAAAACATAACAGACACTTCTAGCCCAATGCTTTGCACTGGGTGCTATGAGAGCAGAGGAAAGAAACCCAGATGGCTTCTAGACAACACCGTCTGGGGAATACATTTCTGCTATTGGATCAAGAATAGTTGTACATTTTTTCCTGGAAAGAATTGCTTTGTTTTTCTCAACAGACCTATGAATTTAGTGGACAGACCTGTGAATTAATTCACTGGCTAGGTTTTCCTTTTTACATTGGCTGTTAAAAAACTATAAGCCAAACTTATGTCCCGCTCAGTGCAAATTGGGCAGATTTTTAGGGCAAGCATTTAGCACTGGCCTTGTCCCTGGCTCTGTATTATACTCCTGTATTTGGTTTGCTTTTCCACCTGTTTCTTATGTTTGTCATCTTTCCTGTCTATGGCCGTACCATCCTGAATGTGTCTGATCGCATCTAATGTTGGTCACCTCTCCTTATTCTTTGCTTCCTTATAGGCCACTAAGCAGCCTTCTTGGTGCTAGTTAGGGTAAGTGCGTGGGTGGTGAAAGAGGGAGGAGGGGAGGAAGAAAGAAGGTAGAGGTTATAAAGTAAAGCATATCCTTTTTCTTGGCTTCATCATGTAGATTAAGTGAATTGCTCTCAAAGCGTGGTCCTTGGGCCGGCAGCATTATCATCACCTTATGTTGTTAAACATAAAAATTATTGGGTTTCATCCCAACCTACTAAGCCAGACTTTCTGTGGATGAGGCCCAGGAAACTCTCCAGGTGATTTTTACTCACATTCAAGTTTGAGAACCACAGGAAAACAAAAGGAAGGCTGATTTCTAAGATTAAATACAATACTCTCCAATTGCCTCCATGGTGCCTGTTGTGTTGGTCAAGATAAATAATGCTAGCTACTGCAATAATCAATCTCCCAAATTTTATTTTTTGCCAATATCACAATCCAATGTAGATCAGTTGTGGGAGAGGTGTAAAGAGAGCTGCTTTACTAGTTTATTAAGCAAACCAGGTCCCTTCCATTGTAAGACTTTGCTATTTTCTAGGCCCTTGGACATTTCCTCTGGATCCCCTGCTGCTAAGAAGGCAGGAGAGAGAGGCGAGAGAGGAGATTTAGCAGCCAGATCTGGAAGAAACATCTTTTCTGCCCACAATTCCATTGGCTAGAAGGCAGTCTCATGGCCTATCTAACTGCAGGGGAGGTTGGGAAATGTGACCTATCTATGGAGCTAAGAGCAAAAGGAAATGGCTTTGATGAACCCCTGGCATTGTCTCTGCACACCCAAGAACCCAAGTGAATCCCAACCTCCACTTCTAGGTCATGTTTTGGTGAACATCGGTTTTCAGTTTCCTTTTCTAATCAAGTTTTACCTTTTCTTTTTTGACTCTAGCACTATGGGACTGAGTAACACTCTCTTTGTGATGGCCTTCCTGCTCTCTGGTAAGAACCTTTCAGCTTTGTTAAGTCCTGGAATCCTACTGTCTCCTGATGAGTCTGACCACTGCAAGCCCAGGCCTGAGACTTGGTGGGTTTTACTCACTTTCTACTGAGCGTTGTACAAGACCACATGCAAAAAAGACTTTCCTGGAGAAGAAGGAAGTGTTATGATTGAGAGCAGCTGATGGCAGGTAGCTGGGATGGAGCTCTCCTGCCATGTGCTTCTTCCGCCTCCGCAGTCTCACATCAGTGAGTCTAGATGCTCACAGTGGGGTAGCCTGGCCTATCCCATGGGGATAGGGGAAGGCTGCTGCACTGAGGCCCCTGAGACTTGACTCTTTTGCTCAACACATATTCTCTTCTGGTCTTTTCTGACCCTGTTTCTGTCTTTCTCAGGCTCCTAGGAAACAACTGATGGAATTCCAAAAGTCTCCCTTCATACAGAGCACTGGTTTTCACGTCCCTGCCTTCCCTACCCTCTCTCACTCCCTTCCCTACCCTCTCTCACTCCCTTCCCTATAGCCTATGCACATACATCATGGTTGCCACAGCTTCCTGACAACTATGGATCGTCAGCTAATTGTGTCAGCTGATTCACAGTGGAGTCTAATGAAGCTGAAGCTTCAGAGCCCTCCATTTGCAAAACCCTTTCTAAATCCCCCTCAAGACCCTGTGAAGAGCCCTCTAGCACTGTGGTCACATGTCTTATGCCTTGGTAAAATTTGAGTAAGTAAGATATTTTAACCACAATGAGTTATGACCACTGTCTCCTTCCTCTGCAACTTTTCCCTCCATGCCATTCTCCTCCTATCTGGTGGTGTTAGCAGTCAGGGGCATTTCGTATTTGAATTCTACATTCTTTTTCTTAACTATCCACCGCCTCCCCTCAAAATTTTAACAGCATCCAGCCTCACAAAACTCAGATCTTCCCTGTTTACTGTTCCACTTTGAGTTTCAGTTTCTTCATCTGTAAACAGGGGTTGGCTGCGGTCCCTGCCATGTATCCTGTGACTCAGTGTCTTGTAGTTACTCCTGGCCCACCTCTTCCTGCTGCTCCTTCTCTCCACCTGCAGGTCTGAGAGGGAAGCCACCCCACTAAGACAGGGAGGTGAACTGAGCCTGAAGTTTGGCTACAGCACCCACAGGCCACCAGCCATGAGTTCACCTCCTCAAGATAACCACACACCATGCCCTTGGCCACTGTTCCCATGTCTGCTGTGGGTGATGAGGAGTCAGGGAACTACAAAGAGATGGTCCCTCAGATCCATGCTCGCTGGAATAAGCCTTTTGGGATTTCTGTTTTCTGCTTAGCTTGTGGAGTCCTTGAGTGTGAGGTCTGTAGATGTGCCAGCTGTTCACTGACTTAGGTAACAACAGCCGCTTCCAACCCCCAGGGTCCATGACCTGCTACCTTAGCTCCTGGGGAGGTGGGAGGTATGCGTGTGTCAGAGAGCAAGGCAAGAAGACAAGACTGTAGAGAACATTATCCAATAAGATTCCCTTCTCATCCAACTTCTTATTTATTTATTTATTTATTTATTTATTTATTATTTTTTTGAGACAGCATCTCTCTCTGTCACCCAGGCTGGAGTACAGTGGCACAGTCACAGCTTACTGTGGCCTCGATTATCTGGGCTCCAGCAATTATCCCACCTCAGCCTCCCCAAGTGCTAGAATTATATGCATCAGCCACCGCACATGACTTATTTTATTTATTTGACAAATGCATATATACACAAAGTCATGAATCATTTAACAACAGGGGTACATGCTGAGAAACACATTGTTAGGCGATTTTGTCATAGTGTAACCATCATAGAGTGTCCTTACACAAAACTAGATAGCATAGCCTGCTCCATACCTAGGCCACCTGGCACAGCCTATTGCTCCTAGACTACAAGCCTGCACAGCATGTTGCTGTGCTGAATACTGCAGGCGGCTATAACACAATGGTAAGTTTTTGTGTATCTGAACATATCTAAGCATAGAAAAGATACAGTAAAAATATGGTGTTATAATCTTATGGGACCATCATTGTATATGACTAAAATGTGGCTGTGCAGTACATGACTGTATATATATACATATATACCCCTTACTTTGTGCCTGGTACTGTTCTAAGTACCTCATAAATATTAACTTGTTTAAGCCTCACAATAACTTTCTGCTTTAGATCTTGTTATTATTTCCCATTTTAAAATGTGGACACTAAAGACCAGAGAGGTGAAGTAGTTTACCCAAGATCGATATAGCTACTAAGTGGCAGAGCTTGGATTCACACACAGCAATGTAGATTTCGCATTTGTTCACTTGACTCTTACCCTAACTCTCATGGTAAACCATGAATAAGTGGTAAGACTTCTTCCATGGGGCCTGAACAGCTTTGGTGGATAACACAGCTTCCACCTCATCCATGTTCATCCAGTGCATCCTCCCCATCACCTGCAGCTGACACCTCAGTTGACCCAAGAGCTTGGGCCCAAGCCCTTCTCATCAAAGTGACCAGCCCAGCTCTTAAGATCTGGGAGAGAAGGAAGAAAAATGTCCTGGAAACACATTTCCAGAAAACACTAAACTGGAACACCATCTCCCACCAACTTTTCTGACTCTGCACACTGAAAGTGAGAAAGTAAAGCCAAGACACTCTATGAAAACTGAGTTCAGCTGTCACTTTTGCCCTTGACTTGCTGTTGACACTTCTTAGAAATTTCTTAGCTCCTGAGAAAAGAGTTATCAATATTGAAAACAACAACTTCAAATGGTAACGTTTAAGTTTTATGGTGGTGAGAGAATAAGTGACTATATTTTTGGCAGTGCAAATTTAAAGAAATAATGGAAAGCCCATGACATCAGACTAGAAAATAACATTGCCAATTAATTCACACACGATGAAAAGCAACAACAAATCTGATTCTATTCTTCTTTAAAAAAAGGAAAAATTCCATTTGAATTCTATCTGCCTTTCTTCTCAGGGCACACCTCTGCTTACTGGGCTGGTGGACAGTGACCTAGCCACAGGGCAGGCATCCAAAGGGAGAAAGGAGATGCAATTGGCCCAAATAATCCACCCCCAAAATGTAGAGCTGAATAATTCATTTCATGTCATAGAAACAGCAATACAGTGAGGCAATTCTGTTTCACTTTTCGTTCCCTTGTATGTTGTGTCCTCTGTCATGGAAATTTGACACAGTAGTATTTGCCACCCCTGCTCTTGAGGGTAAAATTGGATGGGAGTTTAAGACTGAAATGGGCACCCGTGGCCTTGCAGAATTAAGTTACAGTTTGTGCCCTGTATTTATAAAGCGAAAGGAATTTCTAGTGCCACTTGCAGAGGCACCTCTAACTTTCAAGCTCTGTTTGCCACTGTCCTGGCACCTGCATCACACTGTTAGGCTGGAGCCAGAGAGGTTTTTGAAAAATCAGTAGCTCCCACATCAGAAGGAAGTATCTTTCCAGTTTGAGTTTTGGTAGCTGCTCTCTTTTGGTCTGAGGATTCTCTGGGTCCTAGGGCTTCTCACTTCTCTTGAACAATACCTCTAGTTAATTTCATGTACCTGGAGTGGTAGTTGGAATATTTCTTCACTTTAAGATTTTTTTTTTTTTTTTTTTTTTTTTGAGACGGAGTCTCACTCTGTCACCCAGGCTGAAGTGCAATGGCATGATCTTAACTCATGGCAACCTCCACCTCCCGGGTTCAAGCAATTCTCTTGCCTCAGCCTCCCAAGTAGCTGGGATTACAGACACCTACCACACCCAGCTAAGTGTTGTATTTTTAGAAGAGATGGGATTTCACCATGTTGGCCATGCTAGTCTCGAACTCCTGACCTCAGGTGATCTGCCCAACTCGGCCTCCCCAAAGTGCTGGGATTATAGGCGTGAGCCACAGTGCCCAGCCCACTTTAAGATTTAGGCAAGATTGGCTCAAACCCTTATTCCTGTGGAAAGGTCCACTGTTTTCCTCCCAGATTTTTGCAGATATCTGCGTGGATGTTTACTTTTGACTCCCATTTCCTACTGTTGTTGATAGCCCTCATTAAAACCATCACCTGGAGGTGAACAGACAGCTGAGACCTATCATTCCCAAAGAATTGTCATGGAGCCTAATAGTTCTATTGGATTCACCCCCTTATGTTAAGCCACCATTTCAGTGTTTTTAAAAATAGATGTATGTTGTTTAGTAGGGAGTATCTTACCCTCAAATTAGTTGATTGTTTCAGTAGGGCTTTTAGTGGGTTCCAGAGAAAATGAGCAATCAGAGAAGTTGATTTAGTGAAAGACAATCACTGAATAGGATGTGTATAGGGTTGTTTGGGAGCAAGAGTGAAATTGGTATGGAACAGAGAGGCTCCCAAGGCAAGTAGACATTTTTTTTTGGAAGGAGCAAGTGTTTGAGAGTCTGTGGCTTATTTTTCCTTTATGAGAGGGGAGTTTTAACACCATTTCCAAAATATGTAACCTGGTATTTTGTCCCCAGAAGTCCTGTTGACATGTATGGAAGCAAAAAACTCTGTCACTCCGGCTAGAGGAGTGCAGTGGTGCCATCAAAGCTTACTGCAGCCTCTAATTCCCAGGCTCAAGAGATGTTTCTGCCTCAGCCACTGGAATAGCTGGGACTGTAAGTGCATGCCACCATGCCTGGCTAGTTTTTTTTGTTTGTTTGTTTTTGTTTTTAGAGACGGGATCTCGTTTTGTTGCCCAGGATGGTCTTGAACCTTTTTAAAGTGATTATCTCATCTCAGCTTCTTAAACTCCTGGGATTATAGGCATGGCCTATTTTTATGTTTTATAATGTTTTGTACTTTTTGATGTTACTTCAAATATCTTTTTAAGTATCCTAAATATACTTATTTAAAAACTTTTTTGAGCAAATTTATCTATAAATTATTGATTTTATGTTGACAGACATTGTTCTCTATCATTAATAATGTTAAAAATAAATAAACAAAAACAAGTAACTCAATTAATGCTTACCACAGGCCAGTATTTGCTCCAGTGCTAACTCG